TTACACAATACGTCAATTAATTACGTGATCGATTTTTTGGAAGGAGAATGTTTTTGGAGTGAATAAAATTATGAGATTCGTGAACATAAATCTGGCTTAACGTTTTGAATGCGTTTCCTTCAACGTTTTACAAAACAATTAAATTGCAACAATAATTTATTTGTGTTTGTTTTTAGTCTGCAGCATTTGTATTTCGAGAATGTTTCAAACTCTTCTAAATTGTGAAACATAATGTGTTGATTCCATTAAAAAAAATATTTGCCCTGTGACTGAGCTCACTAATATTCATAATTGTAAATAAGTTCTGTTAATCAATGAAGGAAAGATATGTAAATGATATGCAAATTATTATGCAAATTAGCCCCGGCGCTATGCATTTTTTCTGGGGAGAACCCTGAACACTGCTGAGCATTTATGTAGATTTGATTGTAGTCAAGTTTTTTAGCATCTTAGGGTGTCAACAGGATTCGAAACAGCATTGCATGTTGGGATTTTAGGTTTTCCATATAAAAAATATATCAATTGCCAACGCTTCAATGCTTTTCATTTTACCACATATTTTAAATTAACAGATAATACAAACAAGCTTTAACAAATATGGCGACTAAGCTGCAACTTTGATTTTTGTGCAGATAGCATTCACAAAAAAGATACATTACCAAGGTTTAACTGAACGAAACGCTGCGAGGGGCTCTAAAAAGTCAATGTCAGTTTTTAGCACACATTGCCACCATATAAAAACTCGCATTCATGCTGCCACTTGGAAAGTGCACATCCTTATACCACGTCAGCAATTTTGATAATAGTTCGTAGTATATTGTCAAATGTATTAATGAGTTCCCTTATTGTAGCTTTTTCCCATATTTTAAATCAAACTACAATCAACATACTATCTAGTTATTTAAGATTATGATGTGTTCATTTTCTAAGTGATTGTTAATTCTAAATAGACCATTTTCCGTTCACTGCGAGAATCACGCGTTATGCGTGAAATCGAACGTAAAAACAGGACAAACAAAGGTCATAGCGTCGTAGTCGCGTCAAACATTGCGTGGGATTCGACAAACGCGAAGTATTTTGGGTGACATTTCCATGCTTAATAATGTGCTGTCCACATTTGATGATAGGCAATTTCGATTATTAAAGTAAGGGTATTCGGAAGCAATATTCCTCTGTCGAAGATCGGCCGGTCAATGTAAGCTGCGAAATAAAGAAATTTTAGTTCAAAATCAAATCGTTCGATTTTTGCGGCAGACGTTCGACGCGCGTCTTTCATGCATCTCGCGAGATCTCGCAATTGTTCGGAAAATCACCTATTACATGTTCTGTTTTGATAGTGTCAAAGCTATGAAGCCCTATCTCTGTCTACTGAGAGTACTGTCTTTGTGTGTGGAACCATTAAAGAAGTACCCGACGGGAAATCAGTGAGTAGAAAATATCCATGGTGAAAGTATTTACGCAGGGCACTGATTTCATTCATACATTGTCTATACACAACCATGTGCCTCCTAACAACTTTTCTCTATTTTTTTAGCCAATACACAGGTCATCCAACAGATTTTACAAAAATAGCGAAATTAAAACCCACTGAATAATTAATGCATTTACAGTAATTCAAATGAGTTAATATCCACTAAATTACTGTTTGTTGGTGTAATAAAGTTGTATATAGATATGAAAACAGTAGTTTCACTTCCAATGTACTGTGTGGTGTGTTGTGTGTGAATGGCATTAATAACCTAAATTGATTCAATCTATTAATTTTATGCGGTATTCATATTTGTGTTATTAGCTGTGCAATCTTTCTGTAGTTTAGGATACTGTAAAATACTTTATTTTCACTTGGAATGAATTTTCGCCATTTTCGCTGAAGGAATGATTCCCAAATCTAGCAGATATACCTTTTTTCCTATATTCTACATTCAACTGGTCAAAAATCAGTGAAAATAAATTCCTTACAAAACACCAAAAAAGTTGTTTCAGCAAAAATTAAGTCCAGCTAAAATAAAGTATTCTACAGTATTGTATTTGGGAAATAGTTATCAGTGTGGCATTTTGCAATTTTGAGATGGAATTGATCGATTTATTGTCCTAATTTTCCTAATATATAGGCACCTGGTGGACATGAACTCATCGTTGATTATTGGGAGTTAGTGTCTGCTGCACCAGCTGGCGGTATTGATAATATACTAAACGAGGTACAGTGTTTGTCAATTAATGAAATATTGTTTTTTCTTCAATAATTTAACACTTCTATTTTTAGGAGCATGCACTAAAAATACTTTGCAAAGGCAGATAAAAAGGGCTTCTGAGTCGTAGCTCAATAGAAGATTTTTGGATGATTATTATTATCATTATATTGTTCCAAACACCAAAAGGGTAATATTTCCAGCTAAGTTACTGACTCGCTATTGAATCTCTGGTAGTGATGGACTTTGGTGTTAAATACAGGACTGTACATTGTCAATGCTTGTTCTATTTTTAGGATCAACAGAGCTGCTGGGTGTTTTTTTTTAATGGTTCATAGGCTTTTCCACTTGTTTACGAATTGCGTTTGCATATGCGCAGTTATTGGTTGATCAGGTTGTTTAAGGAA